TTAAAGGTACTCTGTTGTCTCAAGGGTGTTCTTAATGTCGCAATGAGGAAATGAGAGAAGGGAAAGACGTGCAAGCAATATCAGGGAGACTATGAAAAATGACGAGGTTTCAGTGGTGTAAAATAGATATCTGACAACATCCGCCCACCGCTGGCTCAGTATCCGCAGAACACCTCTGACACGGGCATCCTCCTTTTGAGGCAAAATAGACATTTGTGTTTAGTCCCCAGGCCCTGGCTTTTCTGCAGGACCTGAGATGTATACAATATGACTTTTGTCTCCTTACGGAAACGTCTCATCTCCCGTGTGTATAGGCTCTGGAACATGCCTGTGTGGTGTGTGTGTACGTGTGTGTCTCTGTGTAATGTGTTCCCTACTTAGTATCTCTCCATCCCTACCCTATCTCAGCCCTCTCCCACTGCTAGCAAGTTCCAGGGCCCCGGCCTAATCAGGCAGAAACTCTAGTACGGGCAGCTGTCAACAGTGTAGCTGGAAAATCACTCTCTGCTAATAAAGATGCTGAAAATGAGATCTAGTTGACGCCACCTTTTTCGTCTCAGCCGTGATCTGTTATCTCTGAGGGCTGAGGTGCGGGGCGGGGGGGAGCCCAGTAAGAGATGCGGTTGGGGCCGTGACCACACCTGTTTCTGGATGGGGCTCACACAGGGAAACATCTGGAAATATCATGAGGTTGAGTATAACGCAACACGATGTACAAAAGGCTAAGCAGTCAGCCTGATGGAGACGATGGGGTTGAAGACTATAAAAGGCTGGGATATCACCCCTTCTGGTTTCAACGTCTGCCACTTCATAAAAGGATTTAAATTCCGTCAGAAATGATCCAAATGGACTGCGGTAGGGGAGTGGCATAAACCATTACCTTTTATCCACATAATAAAACACACTACAGTCATTAAAAGGGAGTGGCAAAAGTGATTATACTGACATGGAAAGATGTTTACGATCTGTTGTTGAGATATACTGTAGTAGCTAATTTGTGTGTGTGTGTGTGTGTGTGAAAAGCATATATAAACTGTTGAAAGTGTTTATGACCTAGTTGTATTATGGGTGAGTTATGTCCGAGTTGTAGCATGGGTGATGTTTCTCTCTTTTTCTTCCTCTTTTTTTTTCCTTCAATGAAAATATAGTACTTGTGAAATTTTAAATAGATATAATTACTTCTCAGTTATTTAAAATTATTTCATATATGCCCTCAGAAATACTTCATTGGTGCTTAGAGAGTAGTCTTAGATGAGGAGCATTTCCTGACTACCCAGGGTCTCCCCCAGGCCCTCCATCTCAAAGCTCCTGTCGGCAGGACTGCTCTCCTGAATCCTGCTGAGGAGGCTGTGGGGAAGCATCAGTGCCTTCATCGGGAGAGGAAGGGGGTCTTAGGCAGGTTCAGTGACTCTTACTGCGAAATCCCCAGTTGCTCGGGTCCTGTAGGAGGTGAGGATTGGCCTTTCTGTCTCTTCTCCTGTTTTCCAGCTGCTTCTCTCATGAATAGGTTTCCTTCCCCATTTCAGTGCCATGACTTTGCTCTCCCAGTGCTACTGTACCCAGGCCAGCTGGTGAGCAGGACTGGTTTTTAGGGTTACAGAGTCTTCAGGTCTCACTGGGGTTAAGCGCCACAAGAAAGGGAGAAACAAAGTTAGAAGGTCAGCTGGAAATCGGGGGGCGGGGCCAGGGTGAAAGGAGGCGGCCTCCCTGCACTGCATGCCTGGAGGGCCTGTGCAAGTGTCCAGGCACCAGCGGGCAGGTCACTCTCAGGAACTTGAGTGCAAGGTTTCCTGCAGCAAAACTCTTAGGGCTGAAAAGACACCCAGCTGTTCTCAGACAGCTGTGCAGACTTTTGTGGCGGCTCTGAAGGGTTAAAGTGGGTCAGACCCACCTGTTCAGCCCCACCTTGCCCTCCGAGGGGCACCAGGGCTGCAGGCGAGGGCACTCTGCTTCCTGCAGCACCTGCAGGGAGCGGAGCCAGAACTTCAGTGCAGCCTTAGACACTGTTGGGTTGAAGGATGGCTTCTTTGTGATTTTTTACCATGACCCAGCTATCAGTGTTTCATCTGAGGAAATCTGACCTGGAGAAAAGGGGCTACCCAAGGATACCCAGACTCCCCAAGGCCTCAGGCTGCAGCCTCTCGACTCTTCTTTGCTCTGCTTTTTCTTTTCTAAGGACAGAAGAAAGAATTCTGACAAACCAACTCCAGGGGGTTCAGCCAGAAAATAGGGAGCAGTGATTATAAACTCTGCCTGTGACCCTGGGTTACTTATATAACCTCTCTGAGTCCCAGTTTCTTCATATGTAAAGAGAAAGACTAATAGTATATGATTTGGAGTTGTTGTGAAATAATGTATCTTAAAGAATTTAGAGGACAGCACTGGGAGGCACTAAACAGGGATGGACTAGAAAAACGTGTAACAACTGGTAAGGGCAGAGACAGCTGCTCTCATCAGAACAGAGGGCGGGGCTGCCGGAGTAGGCTCTGGAGAACCACTGGGTGCCAGGTGTTAACTCATTACCTGCTGGATTGTGGGGAGACTCCAGAAACGAGCTGGGGTGATGAGAAGGGTAATGCTATGTGTCCACAAGTGTGAAGTTGCTTCAATATTTTAACTGTCAAGTATGGCAGCATACCACCTGAATATCGATTGTAATTCTGAATGTTAACTGTTAATTATTCGCTAGAATAAGTAGATATTAGCTACTTTGAAAGCTATCACGTTTTGAAAGCTATTAGGACTTTGAAAGCTATCAGGTTGTCCAAAAATTTCATTTGGGTTTTTCTGTAAGACATTATGGAATAGATTCCCTCCTCCCCATTATATGTGTGTATGCATTGACAGACAGACAGATAGACACACACACACACACACACACACATACACACACACACTCACACACTCACAGAACGTCTTAACCTTTAAGACAGAAAACCAGAAAGGTAAAGGATCGACATGTGTCAGACTTGAACTGTCGCTGCTCAGATGTGCGGTCTCAGGGTCTGGAGTGTGCGGGTGCCAGCAGCCTGTTCAGAAGGTATTACCTTCTGATGAACCTTGCAGTCCTGCTCTGTCTCGTGTGGGTTCTGTGGAGTTCACACTGCAGCGTCAGGGAAGAAGGCTGGTGGGATATGGGAAAACCTCCCTGGGCTCTGGCGGCAAATCAAGGTGTTCTCTGCTAGCTTGCTAGGACTGCCTTAACCCGGTATCACACATTGGGCGGCTTAAACAAGAGGAAGTTATTTCCTTGCAGTTGTGGAGGCTAGAAGTCCTAGATGAAGGTGCCCACACGCTGGTTCCCTCTGGGGGATCTGTTCCCGGCCTCCCTCGTTGTCTTGCAGATGGCTGTGTTACCCCTGCATCTCCACACCATTTCCTTGGGTGTGTGTCTGTGTCCAGACCTTCTCTATTTACAAGAATTCCAGCCACCTTGGATCAGGGCCTTTCTTAATGACCCACTTTAGAGCCTATCTCCCACTGTGTTTACATTCTTCGGTTTTGGGGTTCATACTTCAATATAACAAACTGGGGGGGAGACATAATTTGGTCCATAACAAGTTCTTTCCGCCTAGCCTGGTGAACCCAGCATGCTTTGCAGGCTTTCCTCTGTGGCACATGTAGGGTACATGCTCCTCTGAGATTTCTCCCTGTGTCGTCTTTTTTTGCTTTCTTGCGAAAATACTCAAACACATAGTAGGATATACACCAATACATGCATCCCTCACTAAATTCAATACAGCTTAAACATTTTGTCATATATCATTCTTTGTATGTATGTGTGTGTATTTCCCTAAAGGTAAATATTTAAGTTACCTTTAAATGTTGTAGGATGCACTTCTAAATATAAATGATAAAGAAAAAGATAGTCTTTCACACACCACTGTACCATTATCATGTGTGTATGTGCTAAGTCACTTCAGTCATGTCCAACTCTTTGAGACCCCATGGACTGTATCCCACAGGCTCCTCTGTCCATGGGATTCTCCAGGCAAGAATACTGGAGTGGATTGCCATGCCCTCCTCCAGGGGATCTTTCGGACCCAGGGACTGAACCCATGTTTCCTGTGGCTCCTGCACTGCAGGCAGATTCTTTATCACTGTGCCATTTTGTTCTAACAATAATTCCCTATATCATCTAAATATAATCAATCCATATTCATGATTCTTAAACTATCACCAAAATGTCTTAAAATTATTTTCTTCACCAACCAAGCAAGATTCATGCACTGAAAATGGTTATGTATCTTCAGTATCTTGCCTCTTTTTAGCTTAAACAATTCTCCCTCACCTTTTCTTTTCAGGATACTGACTTTTTGAAGACACTAAGCCACTCATACTGGCAGACATTCCAGCCACTAATACTGGAATGTCCCTTATTCTGGTGTTGTCTGACATCTCCCTTGAGGTCACTACAATAAACAGCTATTAAAACCATTTATTTACTGTAAAACAGTTGTTGAGGACAGACCTGGCATGACTCCAGCTCCTTATGTATGTTCTATATGAGAAATTCTCACCAGATTTTAGTACCAGGAAAGAGTTGTGCCTCCCACCATGAATGGCATTTTATTTTTTTCTGATGAGAGCTAGGAAACATTCTGTTTCTCTTTTTGTTCAAAAAGTGCAGAGTGTAATTTACAGCTGTGGTACTTTGTAGGGTTATCACATCTGTTTCACCTTTTCCCCTTGATCCTGAGTTCTACTTTGGTCACTCTTTAAGGTATTGTGAGTCTTTCACTGTAAATTCAAATTCTTTTTTTGTTTGCTTTGAAGATTTGGGATATAAGTAAATCCAGCTGATTTCTGCAAGGCCTTTCCCAACATCCAAGCTCAGAGATGAAGGGCTTGCCCAAAGGTGCTTTATAGCTGATTCCTTTCAGGGAACCAGAGGGTTGCAGAGAACTTCTGAAGACCAAGCCTCTCCCCCACACAAAGCGTTCTTCAAGGTAGTTATGATTTAACACTAACCTTGTCTTCTTGTCTTGTTAACAGTAAACAGGACATCTGCTTCACTTGTTGATTTCTTAAGGGGATCCTGGCTCTCCCATAGTAACTTGTGGCCCACATGTATCTGCCATCATTCAGCTGTTCACCAAGCTCTGTGCCAAGAATGAAGAGAAATCTAAGAAAGCAGTTATGGCCTCTGAACTATCACGGTTAGGATTTATGGCTCTTTTATATTTCCTTGAGATCACAATAGCTTTTGATATGCTAGGACTTATGCAAACCCATCCAGTGGGGTTATTAATCTCAGTGTAAACTTGATAGCCAGAAATATAAATACCATGAGGTCTGGTTTTAGTGGCTGCTTATTAAGTACTTATTATGTGTCAGGAACATAAGTGTATTGTCTTATCTAATCCTCACAACAATTCTGTAAGATAAATACTGGTGTCTACATTTTCTAAAACAGAAATCAGAGGTTCAGAGATGCTGAGTAACTTGCCCAAGTAAGTTGTGAAGCTAGAGTTGAAATCTACATCTGTCTCCTAAACACATCTTTTAACATTATACCACATTGTCTGTGTTTTGTTCCTTGCCTAGAAAAAAATTAAAGAGGAGAAAAACACTGCTGCTAAACTCAGAGCGAGGGGAAAGGAAACTATTACGCTTTTGACCTCCTCCAGTACACATGGGGCAGGACTGCTCCAGGACGGGAGTTAGGTTAATTCTGCTTGTTTCTTTTCCTGATCCCTAGGGTGGAAGTGACTTCTGACCACCCCAGCACCTGACAGTATGTGAGGCATCGGCAATAGCATCTGGTCACACAACTTCTTCCAGAAGGCCCACCCACGGCCAGCTTCCCTTCACACTGGCAGAACGAAAGCATCAGCATTCCCAGACCATGAGGCTCGCCAAGAACTCAAATGCTTATTCAATAGAACAAATATGGTTGAAGAGAGTTTATGATTTGATTACATGTTGGCAACCCACTTCAGTATTCTTGCCTGGAGAATCCCTTGGACAGAGGAGCCTGGCGGCCTTTGGTTAATAGGGTCGCCAAGAGTTGGACATGACTGAGTTCCTGAGCACACGGAGGCAGAGCAGCTGTGCCAGCAACCTTGATGATCTGTGCTAATGGGGGGATGCTGGGACTGAAGTGACACCCACACCATCCGCACTCGGAGGGGCTTTTCTGGGGTCTGGAAGTGTGAGGTCAAGAAGTGGTAACTTAGGGCTCCTCCAGGGCTTCAGGAAGTCCCTGAAGTTCAATGCAGACTTCATGTGTATATGCACATATTTCTGGATAAGGGTCTTTAATTGATGTCAGATTTTCAGAGGGGACTCTCACTCCCAAAGGTTAAGAATCATCACTTTGAGACTAATTGAGATAATGCTTTATTATTTAATATTAACTGGAGCTAATTTAAAATTAGTTTACCTTTCTATTTGGTTATCTAGGTGGTGGGGAAATGCCAAGAGTGAAAACTGTGTCACTGATTAACTAGAGGAAGTTTAACCCAGCAGTTAAGAGCCAGGGTCTGGAACTTTGCTGTTCTCTAGCAACATGCTGTTGGGCAAGTTACTGAATTACTCTGAGCTTCAGTTTAGTCCTCTGTAGAATGGGTTGATAACTACAGTTCTACCTCATGATGTTTCCAAGTGGCACTACTAGTAAAGAACCCGCCTGCCAATGCAGGTTAGATGTAAGAGACGCAGGTTCGATCCCTGGGTTGGGAAGATCCCCTGGAGGAGGACATGGCAACCCACTCCAGTATTCTTACCTGGAGAATCCCATGGACAGAGGAGCCTGGCAGGCTGCAGTCCTCAGGGTCGCATGGAGTCGAACACGACTGAAGCGACTTAGTATACACACACCTCATGATGTTATGAGGGTTAAGCAAGATTAATAGACACAACGTCTTTAGCATTACCTGAGGTTAGCCATTATTATTGTTTGTTTTATTATTTTGTTTCTTATTTAACAGAGTGGAATCATTACTGGTGGCAGAGTCTTTGTGGCAAGAAGCTGTCAAGGTTGCCCTTCCAATTTCTGCACATGTTCGGCACAGGCTGGGTCCTCCCACATCATCCCTCCTCTCTCTTCCCTAGATCATTTAAAGCTGGCTTAGTCTTGAGGCCAATTCAAGAACCACCTTCTCAGTATCTCCCAGCAAATTCCATATTCCAGCATGGTTTATTATTTCTTCTTTAAAATTTTTTACATTGAAGTATAGTTTATGTACAATATTATATAAGTTATAGGTATATAATATATAAAAACTCACATTTTTAAAGGTTATACTATATTTACAGTTATTACAAAATATTGGCTTATTCCCTCTGCTGTACAATAAATCCTTGTAGCTTGTTTTATATACAGTTCTTTTTACCTATTAATCCCCTACCCCTATATTGCCCCTCCTGACTCCCCCTCCCACTGGTAAACACTAGTTTGTTCTCTATATCTGTGAGTCCGCTTCCTTTTTCCTATATTCACTAGTTTGTTGTATTTTTTTAGATTACATACAAGTGATATCATACAGTATTTGTCATTCTCTGACTTATTTCACTTAGCATAATGCCCTCTAAGTCCATCTATGTTGCAGCAAATGGAAAAATTTCATTCTTTTCTTTGGCTGAGCAGCATTCCATTGTACGTATGCTTTTATGTGTGTGAGTGTGTGTGTGTGTATACACATTTTCTTTATTCATTCATCTGTTGATAGACAGTTAGCTTGCTTCCATATTTGGCAACTGTAAATGCTGCTGTGAATATTGGGGCACATTTATCTTTTCCAAATTAGTGTTTTGTTTTTTTGAATATATACCCAGGAGTGAAATTGCTGGATCATATAGTAGTTCTATTTTTAGTTTTTTGAGAACCCTCCATACTGGTTTTCACAGTCCATTTTAACCAACTTTAAGTGCACAATTCAGTGACATTAGGTACATTCACACTATTGTGCAACCAAGGTCACTATTTCATATCCAGCGCTTTTTTCTTATCATCCTGAACTGGAACTCTGTATCCATTAAATAATAATTCCCCTTTGCCTCTTTCCACCAGCTGCTGCTAACTATCATTTTACTTTCTGTTTCTGCAAATTTTACTATTATAGGTAACATATACTGTGCAATCAGACAGCATTTATCTTTTTGTGTCTGATTTATTCCACTTAGCATAATGTTTCCAAGGTTATTCACACATGCATCAGAATTTCATTTATTTTTAAGGCTGAATAGTGTTCCATTGATGTATTAATATATATCTCATTTTGTCTATCCATGCATTTGCTGATGAATATTTGGGCTGTTTCCACCTTTTGGCTACTACTGTGAATAATACTGTGATGAGCACTGGTGTACAAAATCTGTTTTAGTCTCTATTTTCAATTCTTTCAGGTATTTACCTAGAATTATCAGATCATATAGTAATTCTAGTGACCAGAGACCTGACCTTGGATCTTTCTCGTGTCCAAAGATCTACTTGCTAATGGACTGGGACAGGCTGTTCTTTGTCTGCATCCTGGGGGGCTATGCAGATTAGGCTGCCTGTGACCTCCCACCACAATGGTCCCTGTGTTTCCACTGGGCATTTACATTGTGCCAGAGTTTGTGCCAAGTGTCATGTCTTGCATGACTCTGTGAGATAGATTTGATTATTATGCCTCTTTTACAGATTAGGAAACTGAGGCCTGGGAGTGTTTCATAACTCTCCAAGGGCACACAGGTTGCAAGTTCTGAGCCAGGATTTGAACCCAGATAACATAATGTAGCTTTTGTGTCTAACTGTATGCAATTCTACTTTTCCAAATGGAGTGACCATTAAATTAGTCAGTCAGGATTGAATTTCTTTGCCTAGAAGGGGTAAACAATTTACATAGGATAATTATGGTAAAAATCAAAGATATAAATAAAAAAGCTAATCCAAGCCTCTGTGGTTTAAGAGACACTCTCTTGGGCACCCCCTTATATATCTATGTTAAAAAAATTTTTTTAGCCTCGTATACTGTGTAGAGGAGCTAATTTGCTTTCTATCTGCAACATAAATCCTCAGTTCTATGATGTTTAAGGGTAACTCAGCGGACCTACAGAAATATGCTCTAAGGTGTTGAAATTTGCAATGAAATGTATCACTAGATGGCAGTAAAAATCAATGTTTAAAAATCCAACTGCTTTCTAACTCTGAAAATGAAGCTCTAGGAAAGCACCATCATTTTTGACAAGATCAGGGCAAGTGTATTTAATTCAAGATGGATTTTAATTACCAAGAAGAGGATTCACAAGGTTTTTAAAGGTAAAAGACCTGAAAAGTGTAGACTTTTATAAGGAAAGACACTTCTAAGATTTTTGAAATTCCTGCTTTGGAGGAAGACAAGGTTTTAAGTAAGTATTTTGACTTGGGAAACTGCCATCAGCAAGGTAACATCACATCCGCAAACTTCTGACAGTCTTTCAGTCCACCATCTTGGTTTGGATAAGAATCAACCTTTAGTCCATAAATGAAAACAAAACTGCCAGTTTAGTCCTTGGGGAAATTCCTTTCAGTTAATGCCAGAGAAAAACCCAGTATTTAAGTAATTCAGGAAGTCAGAATTGACCTACAGGTTGGTTTAACACCTAAGCCCCTGGGTCTGTGAAATATGATAATGATAATGAAATAATGAGATAATGAAATAGATCTCACCCATCAGAAGGGAATTCCCAGCTTTTTATTTGAGAAAGTGGCAGGCAGTGAGAGGTGAGGTAAACACATTTTCTCATCTCAGCTCACCAAGATTTGGCTTTCATAGGATGAATTTTAATGATCTAACTGGTATCCTGCTTAGGAGAGAGGATTAATGTTTTAATTTAGAGAAGGCCTAGAGTCAAAATGGGAAACTTTCTTTTTTTTCTCTCAAGCTATCATATGAAAATTATAGCCTCTTCCAGAAAGTTCACAGGGAACCGGCATGAGAGAAATGGAATCGAGCTAACACCTCCAAGAAACTGAAATTTCAGGGCACGCCTTTCAAAAGGCACACACAGGCTGACTCCAGCCCATAGACCACCGAGAGTCAGAATATATCTGGAAGGCCCTGTCAAAGCACAGAGTGACAAGACCATTCTTTGAGACCTTAGGGGCAAATCATTGAACCTCTCTGGGTCTCAGTTTCTGCGTTTGTTAAGTGGGCATAATAATACCTCACAAGTGTGCTGTGAGGGCAAATGAGACAATGGATGTGAAAGTACTTGTAAGGTATATGGTGCCATCATATATGGGCTACTATTGCTTTTAATATGTCAGCCCACCTAACTCCGCAATCATTCACTCACACACACACACACACACCCCCCTCAATAACGTAGACTGGAAGCCCGAACATTGTCTTTGTTCTCTATTGCCCCAGACGCATCAATCTGCACCTCCTTGTCTCCATTTCCAAAACCAGAAGACTCTCCTGTGTGGACTTTCTGCTTCTAACCTAGCCTTGCTTGACTCCTGCTCACTGCTGAAGGAATAATCCTGTTAAAAACTCACTGATTAGATCTTTCCCCTGCAAAACTTTCAGTGGTTTCCTACTGTCTGCAGAATAAAGTCCAAACTTCAAAGCAGCTAAAATGAAAAGCCATCGACAATCTGGCTCTCCTACCTAAATACCATCAATGAGAGGGCCATACAGAAATCAAAATGTAATGTTACATCAGAGGAGAGGTGATGTAACCACAAATGTTTGCCAGCAATTTTTTCTTCCTCGTCTTTCAATCTTGACCTTGAGAAAGTCCATCTGAGGCTTGCCTTCCTCTGTAGGGTCATTTTAAGGGAAACCTACCCACCTTTCTACCCCTTCTAGCCTGCCCAAGTTCCCTGCGCTCACCCACCTGTCCTAGAGCATGCTCTGCCATGATACTTAGCTTACTTTGTGAGAGTTCACCCTCTTGCTGGAAGTCAGAAACTCATAACCCGTTGGCTG